AGTGAAAATCGGTGGTCATATAGTGAGTGCAGCTCGTCTAAATCAGAGCTGTATGAGATTCTGCAGTCACATGTAAATCAAAGAGTCCGATTTCAGATATACATGATCCTCCCAAATTCAATCAAATGTCTGCTTCTGAAAGGACAAATACAGAGAGTCGCCCTTCTGATGTTAATGCTGCGAAGCATTCAACAGAGCATTCAAACCCATCAGTTGATGGGCCGATAAAAACGATAGTTTTCTCTCAGTGGACTGGCATGCTGGACTTAGTTGAGATGTCATTGAATGAAAATTATATAGAGTACAGGAGGCTCGACGGAACAATGACTCTACCTGCAAGAGACAGGGCTGTCAAAGATTTCAATAATGATCCCGAGGTTGGTCAGCTACATCAGGAAGCAATCAAAAGAATTTTTTCAGTCATTTTTAGCCTGCATTAATCTGTTTCTTAATTTCCATTTTGGGCAGAAATTCATAAGAATTATATTTAGGAATTGAGTAGCATCTACATTAAAGATATCGAGTTCTTTTACTGCCTGTATCTGGTCTTCACTCTATAAATCTAACCAAGTGACACTTATTTCAGGTTACTGTAATGCTGATGTCGCTGAAAGCTGGAAACCTTGGTTTGAACATGGTTGCTGCTTGTCATGTTATCCTCTTGGATCTCTGGTGGAATCCGACAACGGAAGATCAGGCTGTTGACCGAGCACATAGAATTGGGCAGACTCGCCCAGTTACTGTAACGCGGATGACAATTAAAGATACTGTAGAAGATAGAATATTAGCTCTTCAGGTGCTAACTAATCAATTCTGTCTTTTTACTGTTGCATTCTTTATGTTACCCATTTGTTTGCTTTTTTCAAGTTTTAGCAATGATTTTAATGTTAGAAAAGGCATACGTTGACTGATCGAAGGATCAATTTTAACTCTTCTCAGGAAGAGAAAAGGAAAATGGTTGCATCTGCTTTTGGTGAAGATCAAAGTGGGGGCTCAGCATCTCGACTAACTGTGGAAGATCTCAGATATCTATTTTTGGGGACTCAGCAGTAACTTGACTAACATTGGAAGATATCAAATGTTCATTATGGACCCATATACTGCTCTATTTTCACCTGTTCTGTTTCAAGTCCCTCACAAATACTTGATCACGCTTTGTATAGGATGAAAGTCTGGAAGGGCTGGTTGTTAACTTTGATAAGGAAGAGATCTGTGGCTGCACTTGTCATGCCTACCTACTGTGGCTAAACTTGGGCGATATGAGTTTGCATATTTTGATGGTAAGTTTTTTGAGGTTTTAAGGACCACGAGGGCATTTTTGTATCCAAGTGCAGAGACGGCAACTAGAGCCACCTGTAAATATTCTAATTATTTTGTGGTAATATATCAAAGATTAATTAATCTTGTGCAGTTGGTCCTTTTTTTTTCTCCGATATAATTGATGATTGCCATGAGCATATTCATCACCACTTTCACAATTCTGTCAATTTTTTTGTGCCATTTTCTCCCATTCCAAGTTCTCATCAAACCCCAGCGCCCAGAAAAAGAAAAAGCAAAATCCAAGAGAGAAGAGTGGTTTCCATGTAACATTAGGAAACGATATCAGGGGCTTCTTGTCCTGTCTTTTTCTAGTTAGCACCAATTGCATGCTTGCCGCTGCAAACGGAATGCAGGAATGCTGATGATGAATTTAGATTCCCGGATGAGCATATTAATGTCTATGAGAGCTGAAGAAACAGATCCACAGCCAGATTCTGTGGTGTTGGCACAAGTTACTTGATCCACCAGAAAAATTCTCCACTTTTTAAGTCAAGGTACATTTTCCACTTATCAAGACACCTTTTTGTTTTAATTTATCCAACAAAAGAGGTTAGACAACTTTTAATTTTGCCTATTAGTGTTAATGAAATGCGCACCCATTGTACTGTAAGGAAGAGAGAATGGAGGGGCCTCTCTCTGTTGTTATGTGTAGTAGCCCCCGCTGATGAAATGATTAGATTAAATTTCACCTTTGGTTGGCGGTTGGCCCCATGAGAAAAGGGAGGCCAAAATCAGGGTGACAGAACCTGCAGCAAACTCTTAGGTTTAATAATGAGAACATCTGTCCGTTTGTTTTTTTCCTTGCTTTTGAACTATTTATTAAATCCTGATATTTTCTTCACCTAAAAGCAGTTTTACCCTGATGAAAGCTTGTTAATTGTAATATTTTCGTTGACCTTTTTTTTTAATTTATTTGGAAACAAGGAGATTATTAGACATGATTTTGGTTTCTTGATCAGTACTTTTTGGAAGTTCAAATTCTCATCATGCTTAGTTACTATTATTACTTTTAAAAGATGAACAAAGATTGACCCTCATTTTTACTGCAATTTTGTTTCTATCTCATCCACCTTGACGATGCAATCAAAAGTTGTCTAAAATTTGCATTTTCTTTGAGCTGATAGATTGTTGATGAAGCACATGTGTGATTCATCCCCCAATACCAAAAGCTAAAAGCATTATCCTGACTGTATATTTCCATTTGTTTTTAGCTTATAATACCGAATTCATGTGTGGTACTTTCACATGAAGCTTCATTTGGTGTTTCTAGTCCTAGCCTCTCTTTCTCATCTAGGTGTTGAAATTGACATCTTGTCAACTGTACAAGGTTTAGAATGAGCACCAAGTGAAAGGAATCATTGCATGTGTGCTTCCTTGTTACCCTGCTCCATAGACTTTGTTGGTATATTGTCTGCATAATGTCCTCAAAGCTAGTTTCACCATTTTTGGCCTTTTGTTTCTTTATCTGAGACCCGGATAGGTTAAAAAAAATCCGGTAAAGAAGAGGGTAAAAGTTATTTTCCAGAACTAAGAAGGTGGTGAAGAGGGTACGAGTTATTTTACAGAATTAAGGAGAGGATAAACGGTGATCAATGAGTAGTGATACCTGATAAGGCTGTCCAGCAATAAACAATGCTGGGAAAGCAAAATATTCCAAAAGGGAAAAATGGTAAGTGTATATCCCTAATGATCCCACATTTCCAAGCAAACCTTTTATTGCTTTATTTGATTCCTTTCCTTTCACTAATCTTCACTCAACAAATTCTAAACTTTTGTGGGCCTCATACAAAACCCTAGGAGGGTTAAAGTGCAGTCAGTAGCTGTATTCACCACTCAAATCCCCTAATTCTGACGACCCAAAAAGGGAAACAAGAAGAGAGATTGATGAGGATGGGACTAGAAAAAGGAGAATTAAGTAAATTGAAGTTTATTGAGAAATAAAATCTTTCAAAAATAAAGCAGATACATACATGTCTATATATATATATCTACATGGCTTTTTTAAAAAAAGGGTCATTTGGTGGAACGCAACCCAAACAAAGGTCACACCAAAGGTAGACCTAAGTCTCACATGTCCACCATGGGCTCATCATTTTAAACACTATTAGTCTTGTGTGAGAGAGAAAAAGAATGTCTTAACATGATGAAAAATGAAAAGGGTATCCAGCAATTAACCGAAAAATTACATATTGGAGACTTATAATGAATTATGATGAGTAAAAAGGACTCTCTTGGATCCTCTATTCTTACAACAAAAGGGTAGCCCTTAAGACCCCAATAATTGCCTTTTTATTTTCTCTTTGTATTCTTTTAACTACTCTCTTCCAAATGTTTGACTCTTCTCCACATTTTCTTCTTAACTTTAAAACGTACTCCCCTTTTCTCTCTAAATCTTTCTTTCATTGTTTCCCACCCACATTCCAGTTGGAGAAAACTACTTCTTTTAGCTATAACTATGGCAAATACCCATTTCATATCAATACATCATTTCTTCAATGCATACATAAAAATATATATATATGTATACATTATAGATTATAACTAAGAGATGAGATCAGAGATCTCCAGCAAAAATTCTCTAATTCACATCATTCTACTTAATTTAACATATATTAGGACCAAATCCCACGAACCCATTTGCCCCATCAAATGAAATTTGAATTCCCTCTTGTTGAATGTTCCCTATTATTGAGAGTCCTGTTGGAGAGGGTGCAAAAGCAAAACAAAATGTCCCCACGTCATCGACTGGAATTAGAAAGTTATTTGCTGGCAAGGTTAACACTGGTCCACCTTTAAAATAAAACGACACCGTTGGTACTCGAACTGATACAAACCCGAATAAATTATAACACGTATCGAATATGGATACTCCGGATGCGCGGGGAAGATTCCTTGTTTCCGCCATGAAGGTGTCTCGAAACACCTCGTAAGCCACTGTTGGTAACCTTGTCACGGCAGTTCCAGTGTCCATCACAACACCTCCATCACCAAATTCATTTAACTGAAATATTTCCTCGGGTATGGTAACCCGATTTCCTCCGACTCCGAGACCGGATAACCCGATATAGTAAAAACTCAGGGCATGCGGGTTGCGGATCAAAGGTACCCATGCAGCACCCACGGGCATTGCTCCACGCCCGAATACTAATGATCCGGTTGAGTCGGTGCCCCGACTTACTAAACAGTAACTAAATGCCCCACCCGTTTGTCCCCCCAATTGACCCACGAAAGACATGGATCCACCACCGAGACCCAACAACCCGGCAGCTCCGATAAACATGCCCCGATTGCTATGCCCGCATCCGATTGCTATATTACGCACCACCGTCCGTCCAAACGTCAGCGTTTCGAGTGCCAACGTTCCCTTCGTATAGGAGCCGTCACCGTACATGACCTCGTAGCGGCATCGACCCGCATGACAACCCGCATTCTCGACCCGATCGCAAACGGCGGAACCGCAGGAGACGCCGGTGAAGGAAGCGGAAGCGGCCGGGTCGAATACCGGGTCGGATTGCTTGTAACAAATGTTACAGGGCTGACATTGAACCCATACAATGTCACTTCCCGAGTCAATGACCATGTACTGATTCCTCGGTGGGCTGCCAACGCCGATTCGTACGAAGTACTCGCCGCTGCCTTGGGTCATGCCAGATACGACGTCGGATCCGAAGTCTTGAATCTCATACTTGGAATCACCGGAGAGGCGGCGAACGATGGCGGCGACGCTTTTCGAGTCCCGTTGCATGCGTGCGTGGAATCGGTGGGGATGATCGTGGAAAGTTTTGAAAGAGAGCTTGTCTCTGTGTACAAGTTTCAACTTCCAGACTCCTTTAGTTCCATTTTTATGGGTCTTAAAGAGTTGGCTTTTTAATGGTTTTGCAGAGTTGTTTCTCGTCTCTGCAATGGTTTCCTTCACATTAAATAGTTGAAAATCAGGGTGTGAAACATTGCTGGTATTACTGGCTGTGGTGGTGTAAAGTAGGAGATATAGTTTAACAAGAAACGTGAGGAGCAGGAGAGGAGATGATAGGGAGAGAAGCATGGCTGTTTGATGATGGGATAATAGCAGAGGAAAGGTGTTGGGAGTTTTGGGTTTTGGGTGAGGAGAATTTATTTGTTTCTGGGTTTGTGTTTGGGAGGGAGGAAAAAGGAAGAGAAAGTGTGAGTGAGGTTTGAAATAATTGAGTGATGGAAGTGGGGCTTTGAAAATTTGTTGTTTTGTTTTTGTTCGTTGGTTAATTGAGAAATCTACTTTGTGTTTTCTTTTTCACTTTTCTTGTTGTGTTCACCAAAATTCTATTTATTACCACAAAACTAATGCTTATGATGTAATTATGTTAATTAATTCTCTCTTATATTAATTACATCCTTACTCTACAGTTTTCACCTTTTTTTTTTTTTTTTTACTTCTAATTCTTTTTATTTTTTATTTTAGTTTTATATTTTTACTTAAACATATAAAATTAAAATGATTTTATGTTCAATTAAAATAATTGAATAGTTAATATATTCACACATTTTTATGAACATATGAATTTGAAACAAATTATATATTTTGTGTGTGCTTGTGTTTAGAGATGTTATGTTATTAATTTTGTTATTATCAATATATAATTTTATATAATTATTAAAATGCATAAATTTTTATTTCAAAAAATTAAAAATATAAGTATAATGTATTGGTGTGAAAAAAAAAATGAATATATACAAAATATCTAGAAGCATAGTTAAATGAGAGACGAGAGAGTTTGGCTTGTCACCTTTACGAGGGTGAAGATATGTAATAATATATATATATATATATA